CTTGCTCTGGTTTCCCCTGAGGTCTTACGTGGCAGAAAGTGTCCACGTGGCTTGCTGACAATGCTGCCTTGGTGCAGGTTACGTTGAACAGAAGTAGCATTTTAGGAAGTGTGGAAGGGAAGAGACCTCATAGTTGTTTTAAGAAACCAACACTTTATTAATCAAAGTAAAAATGCTGAAATACTATTGTCTTACCACCCGTCTTTGGTCAACTGACAGCTAGGTGCCAACTCATGACACTTGTAATGCATCGCTCTTCTCCTTGGAGAGCTGTCTGCCAAGTGTATTCTATTTCTGAAATTTTTTGCAATGACCTAACCTGTTATCTCCCATTCAACAATAGATAACTCCTGATTTGGATTTTCCCCTCCTATTTAGCACCCTTCATTTAGAGAATTCCTTAAAAACCTAAACATTTATTATTTTATAAATAAAAAATTAATGGAACTTGCACTGTGGAGCTTAATTTTAATGTTCCCAATCAGTGTCCCCTGTGAGAAAACTGGTATTAAATTGGGGCTAAGTGTTTTATGTTTTATTTCCCTTTCGAGTCAGGATGTTGTCTGAGATGAAAAGGGCAATTTTGGGGGTAATATAATAGCCTTCCCTCCATAAAATACTGAAAAGAAGTGAAAAGTTTAGAAATGCTCTGAAGACACTGGCTCCCAAGAACCAGGGGCCTTAGAAATGGGCAGACCCCTTGGGAATATGCTGTCTGCTTTGGGGAAAATAGAACAGCTTATCACACAGTATCCTCGTTAGGAGCCTCTTTCTAACCAACGGCAGGCTGCAGCAGGAAAAGCGACTCTACTGGGGGCAGGAGCCAGAGCCCTTATTTTTTATTTATTTTATTTATTTATTTATTTATTTAGCCTATAGGATAGATAGCGCTTTGATTTATTTTTACAAAAGGGCATTTACCTAAGCTCTAGCCATAGATATTGTGACAAGGATGGCGAGCTCACCTGGCAGCCCTCCTCCCCCACCCCAAAAAAAAATCTTTGCCTTGTTTAGGGCGTGCGTGGTTTCAGATTCAGGACACCTGTCAGATCTAAGTCAGCATAGGTTCAACTTCATTAAGCAAAGTAAAACGCTTTTGAGAGCAAAATCTCCCAGGAGGGCCTCCGCCCCCAGCAACTGCAGAAAAGAAGGCGTCTGTGGGAGAGAAGGGTGGCTATAGACGTCATTGTATCTTCCAGATCCCAGCTGTGACCTGGCTCAGAGTTTTACAGTTAAAAATAACCATGGCTTAGAGTTGGGGGAAAAAAGTAAACTGTTGGGTCTCCATGGAAACTAGGAGAGGGATAAAAACCAAGCCATGGATTTCCAGCAGATGTGGCAAGATGGGGTAGATGTTGGCACTGGAGCTTAGAGGCCCTCTGGTGAAAGGGCACATCCCCAGTTAACATCTGGTTAATGTAACCAGACATTGCTCCAGGGCAGCAGGGACACACTTTGCAGCAAAGTTATGTTTGCAGTAACAATGTGTACACCTTAGGTCTGGTAAAGAATTATGTGAGACAGCCAACTTCCTATAACGTAGATTTCCTACTATTTGGCAAAGCAGAGAGCAGGTGAACAACATAGGTTAGATGCTGCCTTTTAACTAATCTAAGAATCTCTGCTACTCCCTCCCCCACTCTTTCATTTATAAGGTCAGAGGTGTGACCTTAAGTAACAATTTAAAACTATAGGAGAAGTCTTCAGATTCTTGAGTTAACATGGACTTTTTCTCCCTTTGAGTAGCACCAGGTTTTTTTTTTCTCTTTGATGTCAGAGATTATGCAAAATTAATTACCTCGGATGTCTTTAAAAGTGTACCTCTTACCGATTAACTCTTTCTTGGGGGAAATTAATTCTATTTTTTCATTTACCCTTTCTTAAAGGTTTCTTCAAAAACATGTTTTTCAAGAAATACATGAATATACTCTAGTTGTAAAAAAAATCACCCCTCTTTTTTCAAATTTATTTATTTTTGAGAGACAGAGGACAAGTGGGGGAGGGCAGAGAGAGAGAGAGGGAGACCCAGAAACCGAAGCAGGCTCTAGGCTCCCAGCTGTCAACACAGAGCCCAACACAGGGCTCAAACTCATAAACCATGAGATCATGGGCTGAGCCAAAGTTGGGCACTTAACTGACTGAGCCACCCAGGCACCCCTCTTTTCCTTTTATAATGACAGCTATATGTTTTCTTGCTTACCTGCCCCAGTGTACTGGAAAGAGCTGAGTGCTAATCTTTGTTCTGCTATGTAATTAATAATAATGCAACCTTGGGCAAGTTTCTCAACCCCTCATGTCTGAAGTGTGGTTGATAATATCTATCTGACTGGGGAGATAAAAACGAAATGGGATAACACACGTGGCACCTTTCTTTTTTCTTCCCATCAAGACTTTGATATTTTCATTATCTCCAACAGGTATGAACAAGCATTTGATTTTTCTGTACCACACAATTCATAACCATGCTAAAGTCTCACAGATGGACACTAAGATCTAAAAGACACAGAGCAAATGTTAAAACAGGCAGATGTGTGTTTTCCAAGGATGTTTATATTGGGATTCTCAGCACTGCATCATTGGTACAGCCCCACGGTTGAATTAAGGGCAGAAAACTTCAGAGATGGATATTAAATGACCTAGTTATCACAGGCATGTTGTAATATTCCCTTATATAATGCCTAACTCAAGAAGCTCGAAGGGCAGAAAACTGTATTTACACTATGATCGTAATTGTACAAATAAAACTAAAAGATCATGCGTAGAAAAAAGATCAGAGAGAAGAGTTGCTATTTGTTGTTCTGGTAAAGTAGTAAATTTATGTGTGATGTTTTCTCTCTCTTTCCTCCTTTTTCGGTAATACGACATTTCTTTATTAATGGGAAAATAAATTCTATGAGAATTATGAAAACTTTCAAAGTAGAAGTTTAGGATGTTTTACATAAGGTGCTATCTTTCAATAAAATAGCACAAGCCTTAGGCAAATTTCTGTAGTAGATAAAATGTTTGGGGACTTCTATCCTCCTAGTTCTTTTATCTTCTCCATATTTATAGAGTGTCCTCCAAGATGCCTGTAATCCACTGTTCTCCAACGTGTCAGAAGACAATATTTAGTTCTTTAGGGGATTTGCATCTTTATAGCTATCAATAGCATATACTCTGGAATTATGAACATCAGCAAGCAGGTATTCAAAACATCCGTGAGCCATGAGACCTGCTGGCACCCTGAAATCAGACTTCTGTAGACAGGTCACCCCTAATCACAGCTGTTCCCCAATGCTGACAGATATAGCAAAGCTGCTGCCAATTTGTTAACCAGAGGCAATGATAGGAATGGAAGATGCAACCATTTTTTCTAAGGGACTCATAAAGGTCTGATTAATCTAATCTAAGTCATTGCCCAAGCAATTAAGGAAAATATTTTTGGGAAGGCAGACTTCAGTAGCCAAGTAGAGTAGAAGTTTCCACCCTCTACTTACTGCATCTAATCAGATTAGCTCTCATTCTGCACAGAAGCTGCACTGCTTCTAAAGCTCTGCTTATTTAGATGTCGTTGGGAGCAGCCATCCCTTCCCTGGGCATAGACAAGTCTTTTGTAGCAGACGGCCTCTAAGATGTATTTACATCTAAGATAATTGATACCTCTAAAAATACCTACGTACAGTCTAGTTATGTGCTGTTCAATAAGGTAGCCTCGTGTCACCAGCCTCATGTGGCTATTTAAATTTATTAAAATTAATTAAAACTAAAATTCAGTCTCAGGCACACTAGAGCCACATTTCAAGAGCTCAAATGCCACGTGAGGCTAGTGGCTACTGTATTGGACAGTGCAGATACAGAACATTTCTATCATACCAGGTTGTATTTATTAAACAGTGCTGATCTAGAAGATAATACCTTCAAATTGCATTTTTGTTGTATGTGTTTGTGTTTTTAAGAGAAAATGCAAATTGGGGGAGAAGGGTGGAGATAGTTTTTTTTTTTTTAAAGTTATTTAGAGAGAAAGAATAAGCAGGGAAGGGGTAGAGAGAGGGGGACAGAGGATCTGACGCGGCCTCTGCGTTGACACAAGAGAGTCCAATGCAGGCTCGAACCCAGGTACCGTGAGATCATGACCAGAACCCAAAGTCAGATCATTAACCAACTGAGCCACCCAGGCTCCCCAGAGAGAGAGAAGCTTAAGCAGGCTCCACTCTCAGGTGGAGCCCAACTCTGGACTCCATCCCACAATCTTGGAATCATCATCTGAGCCGAAATGAAAAGTTAGATGCTCGACGAACTAAACCACCCAGGGGCCCCTCAAATTGCATTTTTGTAGAGGCATACCAACACATTCTGTAAAAAAACACAAAGCATCACCCTGCCCACAGGCATATATAGTCACTAAATGATTTTACTGACTTCAGCACTTCTTCCTACTTTCCTTAATCTCTAGATCTTTGCACATACATCACATTGAACACAAACTATTTTAGCCCTCCTCCCTCCTTTTCACTGATGAGGATATGATTCTTTAAGGTAGACTTAGTTCCTATAATCCATGAAAATGCCTCTTTGACACTAAAGCTGTACTGGAAACCTGCCTTCTGTGTAATAAACAAGCTTGAATCTGAAGACGGATGTATCTATTTGTGTTGCTGAGTCACTGAATTGACTGAAGGAAGTGGGGGTGGAGAAACCAATGAAGTGGCATACAATCGTTTCTATTAGAGATTTTGCTAGTTTGGTGTTCGCATGTCAAAATAAGTCACTAGATGGGATTGGTGGTGGAGAAATGTAGTGTTTGGAAGATGCCTTTCCCAGGCAAGATTTGAACTAGTGTTTTATTCTGAATCAGATTCTGGTTTGTTCTCTTGGAGAAAGATTAATTTTGCCTAACTTTAAAGTTTTAATTCTTCTTTATGAAGGCAAAAATAAACAAATCTTTCCATAGCAGGCCTTTTTAGCTCTCCTAAGATTATCACTAAAATGCCTTCATGTTATATTTTTGTCTGGGAAACTTTTAGACATTCCTGCACCCACGGGATGACTGAATCCAGTCAGAGATCAGGAAGAGCATGAAAAAGCCTCAAAGCTTTTGGTTGAAGATGCCGGGAGACGGAAACCCAAAGCGCAGTTTTTGTTTTTTGTTTTGTTTTTTACTTCCTTCCCCAACCCCTCCCCCCAAAAGTAGGACTACTCATTTGACTCTTCAGCAGTTCTGATGCCAACGATTTGCAACGGTGAGGAGCTGGGTCTGGTGAGTAAAGGGCTGGCTGGGCGTGGTCAGGACCCTTAGGTGTCTGACTCACTGCGGAGCTTTGAGGAAGTCCTTCATACCTCCCCTCACCTGCCAGGGCAGGTTGGGCTGAAAAAATCCGTTTGCATCTACTCCTGTTACAGACGGGCAAACCTAAATTTAAAAAGACCCTCACAGTGACACAGCAGATAAGCCCTCAGCGAATCCATGTGTTAAGCCAGATATCGGACGCCTTATGGCTCTACCTTTGAAGGTACGGGTTTTGGATCTGGTGTTTTGAGACTCCGACGGCACCTGCGGTGTATGGCAGTGGGTTGGCGGTCTCGGGTCTCAAATCTGTAGCTACTTTCGAGTATCGTACAAAATAGCCTCCCAGAGTTACTAGAAACTGCCTGTACCTGCCCAAGCAAAATTCATCCAACAGTTGCTATTTATTTTCCCTTCGGCCCCAACTCCTGGGCGCTCTCGTGCTGGATACAAGGTGGGGGTGGGGTGAGAGGCGGTGATTAGTCACTTACTGCAGTCTTCACACCTTTTATATTTGTATTGTCTTGTCTTTAACTCCCTCGCATCCAGAAAGTACCCCAGTACACCATCCCTGCGCCCCTGACCCAGACCCGGTTTGTAGGTAGACGCTGAAGAGACGACGAGAGGGGTCTTATGTTGTGAGGGGACCCCTGAACCAAAGAGCGTCCAGGCGAGCGGAGCGCCTAGCGCCGCAGCTTTGCTCGGCGGCGGACGGCTCACTGCGCACGCGCGCAGCCCGCCGCTCCGCGCGTCCGCCGCCGGCTTACCCCCGGCAGCGCGCATCTCGCGCCGAGGCCCCTCCCCTGCCCCAAGCGCCCCCCCCCCCCCAACCACTCGGAAGAAGGCGGCGGGGCGCAGGGAGCGTGCGCGCGGCCCGACCCGGGCGCGGGCGGAGGAGAGAAGGAGGGGCGCGCGCGGCGGGCAGCCCGCAGAAGCCGGGAGCCGCGCAGGAGGACGGAGCGCCCGCCGCCGCCTGGCGGAGCCGGTAGGGGGCCGCGGGGCCCGGGCAGGGGCTGGGGGCGGGTGGGACTTTGCGGCTGACGCGGCCTCGGGGGGCTGGCAGGACCGGGCGGCTGGAGCCCCGCGCGACCCTCGTCTCTGGAAACTTTGTACCGGCGTCCACACCTGCCTCCCCCTCCCCGCGGCGGTTCTCGCATCCTCTGGGCGGCGGGGAGCGGCGAGGCCCTGGGCCCTCCGCGGCGCCCCCTCCTCGCCGGCTCTGGGCGCGCGCCCTCCGGCCGCTCCCCAGTGCGGTGGACGCGCCGGCCCCGCGTACCGGTCCTGGGGCTCTTTCGCCAGCATGCTGTCGGCCCCCCTTCCCTCCTCCTCCCTCCTTCCTGACCCTCTGCTTTCCGGCAGCGCCATGGTCTCTCCACCTCACCCGCCGTCAGCATCCACCCGCTCTGAGCCACTGGAGCCGTCGGTGGCTCTTCACATCTTCCATAGGTTTCTGGTGCATCGACAGAAGCAACTTGACTTTCAGCAATGCCAAGTACTCAACTTGAGCGTTTCTCTGCGGTGGTAGATTGGGGTGCACAGTGCTAACGTGTCTTTTCAATTCTCCTAACTACCCTCGCTTCAAAGCGAAGTTGAGTTGTTTGTGTGCGAGAGGAGTCGCCTGCTGGAGCTGCCTTAAGTGGATTGTATAACTATATTTTATTTAGGTGGATGTTGCCAATGGTACCAGCCAGTGTTATGGTAACTGGGCATCCCAGAGGCAAGGGAAGGAGTGACTTACAAATGCAGTTCTACTGTGTGGGGATTTTTTTTTTTTTTTTTTTTTTTTTTTTTTACTGCCTTGCACTTTTCATCCAGCAAGACCTCAAGGCATTTGGCATGTGTTAACTTAGCTGTTCATTGTAGTTTTATAGGAGAGGTAGGTGGAGAGCATTACCATCCCGTTTTACAGATGTAAAAACGGAGGCAAAGAACCAAGTCCTGATTCTCTACTAACCTTAAAGAAATGTGGACCAAGAAACTTAACCCTGAGTTTCTTGGAATTCCTAGTCCATAAGGCCACACAGAAGTATAATGGAATGTTGGAACCTCTTCCCTGAGATTGTACAGATCAAGTAGAAAGTCAGAGAGGCTGGGGCCAGGCATCTGCATCTCCGTGTGAGAGACTCAGCTCTGTCACAAAGTTAAGTGATACTGGACAAGTCACAGCTGCTCCCTGCCTGTTTCCTGTTGTTTAAAATGAGGGGAACAAAGGTGCTGTTTTTGTTTTTTGTTTTTTGTTTTTTTTTTTGCAAAGTTGTGTGAGTGTGCCTGGAAGCTCCACTCACTCTGTTGGGCTGCATTTGGTGATAGTTGTTGTGGACTCATAAAGGCTCCCATTCTTGGGCTCCCTTTAGAAATGCAGGGAATGAGGTGCCCCCAGAATGAATAACTGCCTCCTTTTCACTAGGGACACCTGAGAATTCATGTCAAGGACAGGCTGAGGCAGGGACCCTGACCTGGGTGGGAGGAGAGGGCTGTCGGGTGGAGGTAGGAAGGCACCCTGCACAGGCGGCTTGACACATGGGCCCTGTTCCTGCCTCCAGCTCTGACTCATCTTCTGACGCTTGGGGGAGGAGAGGTAGTTGCTTGATATTTTTGGCTTTCCCCCATAAAACAGGAGACAGTTTCCTTCATTCCAAGTCCCTGTAACGTCAGTGTCAAACGTGTCTATGCTGAGTTCTCATCTGAAATCTTTCATATTGGTTGAATGCAGGTATGATTTCGGTAATATTCCTTAATAGAATGGTATAAATGTGTTTATATATATATATATAAACTGTTCAGGTGTGTAAACCCAGGAAATCCTTTAAAACTTTAGCATGGAAACGTTAGCATTTTTAAATGATGGTCTTTAGGGGAGGAATGCGTGTTTGGTGAATTCCTTTGCAACTCGATTTTAAGGCAAGGTGGATTAAAAATGCTTTTTCCGACTGTCACCAGAAATTCATTAATCATTCTCTCTGTAAAAATTAAAACTTTACAGATAAGGTTAAAGCTTTCTTTTGAGTATTGTTCCCAAAAGTAACTGCTGGGTGTATATTTATTGGTCTGTGTGTATCCTCTCAGACTTTTGTAAGCGTTCTTATGTCTATTTGCACAAAGTGATTTTTTAATTGAAATGAATTGTAAAATTAACCAGTCTTGTTCATAGAGATTTGGTTTCTGTCTAGAATAGGTAGCATGGGTTTTAAGTACGGCTGGTTGTAAAGGCTTATTATTTCTGTAGCATGGTAGTATTTCTCAGGACAATGGGCAAATGGCCCCTTCTTAAACACCCTCAAAGCAGTTAAATCATTAAGATCCTAGGCATTACTCTCGGTTGAAATGAAAATTTTCCCATTAAAAAAATATCTTGGACTACTAATAAATTCCTCTTTGCTTATAAGGAAGCATAAAAGGGAGCGGAAGCAGTGTGTGTTGGGGGGGGGGGCGGTGTTGCTAAAGCAACAGCACCTGGGTATAAACTTACAGAGAACATTTAAGGTAGTAGCTTTAGTTATTTATGAAAGCTTCACTGGGAGACAAAGGGAAATGTTAATATGGGTACAGTTCAAATCAGTAGTTTCAGGAGATGGGTGGGTTCAAACAATTCCTATCAAGAGTTTATATGTTAGAGGACTTTTGCCATGCTAAAGGTAAAATCATTAAGTGCTGAATATTGGGGTAGCAGGTGAATAAGGTCCCTGACCTCATGAAACTGACAGGCTAAGAGTGACATATAGAGAGGAAGTGCTCTTTCCTCACACTGGCCAGAATTGTAATGGTTCTGAATTCCTGGACATCAATGTTTTATTTACTTAACCTTTTTATTGTGAATTATAACACACAGAAAAATGTATAGAACATAAGTGGATAAATTAATGAATTCTTTTTAAGAACAGTAACACCTTCCCTCCTATACTTTCCCAGTGACGGCGTCTCTCCTCACCTCAGAGGTAACCTACCCTAATTTTTGTAGAAATCACTTCCATTCTTGTCTCTCATTTTCACCCCCTAAATATTAATATCTGAACAAGTGTCATTTTTCCTGTTTTCACTTTTATGCAAATGGAATCAAAGTAGGTATTCATTTAAATATTTTGGGGGGGATTAACATTGTATACGTGTGTATATTAAAATGTGTATATGTAAACATATACACACACTCATAATATTTTTTAATTCATAGAGTATGGTATTTCTTTTTGCGATTCATTCAGTTTGTTACCAGTGACTCTGATTAGTTCATTTTCATATGAACATACCACAAGTTATTTATCTATCTGTTGATGGACAGCTGGGTTGATTCTGGTCTGGGGCAGTTATGAACAGGGGTCACATGTGTATGTATCTGCAGTTTTACTAGCTGATGCCTAATTTCCAAAATAGTTGGTAGCAATTTACATTCCTCCAATGGTGTCAGGCTTGAATTTATAATCTGCAGTATTTGTTGTTTAACCATACTGTATTTGGATATTCACACTGTGAATGAATGAATGCCACCAAGGCAGTCTGGTCCCTGGCCCTTTGTGTAGCAGAATATTTATGTATACTTGTTTAATTGTATGGTTTGGACTACCGTACCACCCAAAGGCTAGAGATGATGGTTTTTCCACTCTATATGGTTGACAAATACCCAACAGAATCACTCCTTCCATTTTTTTTAAACATATAGTTACAGGAAAATATAAATATTCAAAGTGAAGTATTAAAAAAAGTATCTAGTTACCTAGAAGTCTTATTTTTGTAAAGAATTTTTTTAGGTTTATTATTATTATTATTATTATTTTAGTAATCTCTAATATACCCCCAATGTGAGGTTTGAACTCACAACCCCTTGATCAAGAGTTGAATGTTTTTCCAAGTGAGCCAGCCAGGTTCCCTTTTAAAGGTTTTGGGTGAATCCTACCTCTCAGGCCACCATATGCTGTGACTTGGTGACTTGAATTGCGCTGGTGAATGCCTGCCGTGTACCCAGCCCTGAATGTGTAGAC